CGTTTGGAGTCACTGACAATAGATGTAGTAACTGTAGTAACTAACTAAGTTACTAAGTAACTAAGTAGCTAACAAACTAGTAACTAAGTAAATAACAAACTAAACAACTGACTAACTAACTAGTAACTAACTAACTAGTACCTAAATAACTAAGTAACTAACAAACTAAACAGCTGACTAACTAACTAGTAACTAACAAACTAACTGACTAAAATGAACTGATTAACTAAGTAACTGACAAACTAAGTAACTAAACTGATTAAGTAACTGGATAGCTATTAACTAACTATCAACTAACTCTCTAACTAAGTATTAAGTAACTAACTAGTAACTAACTACCTAGTACCTAAATAACTAGTAACTAACAAACTGACTAAATCTAACTGATTAACTATGTAACTAACAAACTAGTAACTAACAAACTAACTGACTAAAACTAACTGATTGACTATGTAACTGACAAACTAGTAACTAACTATGAATGACTAACAAAGTAACTAACAAACTAAGTAACTAAGTAACTGATTGAGCAACTGAATAGCTATTAACTAACTATCAACTAACTGTCTAGTAACTAAGTGTTAACTAACTAAGTAGTAACTAATAAGCTAACTAACTAAACCAGTAACAGACTAAAACAACTGACTAACTAGTAATTAACAAACTAGTAACTAAATAACTACTAACTAAATAACTAAACTAGTAACTGACTAAACCTAACTGACTAAGTAGTAATTAATAAGCTAGTAACTAATTAACTACTAACTAACTAACTAACAAATTAAGTAACTGGCTAACTAAGTAACTAACTAGCTAGTAACTAACTTAATAACTAACAAACTAGTAGCTAACAAATTAACTTAACTAGTAACTGACTAACACTAACTGACTGACTATTAATTAACAAACTAGGAAGTAACTAACTAATAACTAACAAATTAAGTAACTGACTAACTAAGTAACTAACTGACTAACTACTAACTAACAAATTAACTAACTAACTAATAACTAACAAACCAGTAACTAAATTACCAGTAACTAACTAACTACAAAGTACTTTTTCAAATCAAACATACTCCACATAAACTCAGACTGTGTATCGTCAACAATCTGGCGATACGATACGATACGTATCGCGATACGATACGCATCGCGATACGGGCGGAACAATACGACACATATTGCGATACCATAAGCAAAACAACACATTGAGAAATTTTGGGTTTTTTTTTTTTTCAACAATAACAAACTGTACTTCAAACTGTCATCGTAGTAAAAATACAATGCGAAAAAAAAAATTTTTCGGTGGCGTGAGTTCGTACCTTGAGGACT